TTTACAATGAAGAATCCGCAATTTGCGAGAAATGCGAGATTCTTAAACAGCAAAAACGGGTTCTACAAGAAGAAAGTAGAGAAGAGATAGAAAGGTTGACGAATGCTAATACAGCGTATGAAAACAAAATAACAAACCTCCAGAAAGACTTATCAGCCCACCAGTTACTGCTTGCACAAAGCAAGGACGATCGTAGAGCTCTAAATGAAGGATTGAAGAAAAACAAAACTTTGCTCACAAGTTTAGAGGAAGCCAAAAAATCAAAAAAGAAAGCAGAATCTGATAAGAAAAAGTTGTATGGCTTAAATCAGGAACTTCAAGAAAAAAACGAAAATCTTTTTGAAGAAAAAGAAGCGATGTCAAAGTATGTCGAAGAAGAAAGGGAAATAAGCAGGAAAAATATGGCTGGCTTAAAGAAAATAGCAAGTGATGAAGAAAAAAAAAGTTCTCTCCTCAAGGCTGAATTAGATAAATGGAAGTCTCTGCATGGAAGTAAGTTCACCACAGGCTACCAATTTTATTATGTTGTTTACATTTTAATTGGAAAGTGTAAACACCCATTATATCGATCCGTTAACCAGTGCTGACTATATAGCTAGCACTATGAATAGTGGCTGGCTAAATAGCAATATAACAGAGTGAAGGCATTTAACCCGTGAAATGAAAAAAAAAAAAAAATAGTCAGCATGTAATAGTCAAATAGACACAAGAGAAAACATTAAGGTCTGCTAAAGTGTATTATTCAAATATCTATTTCACGGTTTTTAAAAATAACCGTTCACTCTACGATACACATTGCGCATTTTTGTACTATTTATACTGCAACTTTAATTCACTACCTATTCACTTCAAAGTCCGAATTAAGTCTCTATGGCAACACGGCAAAAACATGGCAAAACAATTATTTTCTATCATTTTGTACTTAAAAAACATATAAATAAAATTTTAAAGCCGTAAGAACTAATCTTTTTTATGCATTTCAGTTGCGCGATGGACTGAAAATCGGCCGCCAAATATACAAAGATAAACGGCGTCGCTTCGCATTTTTTACTGAAATTTTGTTGAGTGAACTATAAACAAAAAATCACACGATCTCGAGTACAATTTGGAAATTAGTAGACACGAGTAATGTTTGGAAGTTCTTGTAATTGCACAAATTTATACTCATATTAGCATTTATATTTAACTTTTACATCATATTGTAATTTGTATTTGTCAATGCTTCTGAAAAGCCCTGTAAAGGGATGAGGTAATAAAGTATGTATGTATGTAATACACTCGACAAAATTACTCGATTCTGATTGGACAAAAATAGTACAGTTAAATCCCAAATTGTATTCTGTAGAGTCCCAATTAAGTTGCACGATTTTGTTGAGCGTATTATAACAAAGAAATCTCGCACGATCTCTTTGTACATTTAGGAATTGATAGATACTCGTGAAGTTTTGAAAGTTTGACAATCAGTGTAATACTCCTCGGGATATTGCGTTTTCAATATGGTGATTCTAGCTATATAGATTGCTATCTTTTACCAGGCGATTCTTAAAAGTTTCCTGCAATTATTTCGTTAATAATCAGAGTTATTTGAAAGATATTTCTGTTGTTTATTCCTTGCGAGACACCTTTATTTTGAGTCTGCCTAATCCGCATTCAACAATTAAGACGTCTTTTAAATATTCTGCTGCTAAGAACTGGAACTTGATATCGGAGAATATCAAAATGTTACCGGCGTTTGCATTGCTATGCGTCCACCCCAGACAAAAATCGCGACGTGCACTTTGCAATAGACTGCCGTCAATCAAACAAGTTGATGTCATTTACACCAAGGAAGCACGTTAAAATTTTGATTGTGTTGGTTTATCTTCGATTTTATCGCACGTCATCTAAGATATGACAGGCGTTCCTTGTAGTGCTTGTTTGCGTGCGCGCGCTACACTTTATGGCAGGCGTTCCTTGCTTTAGTCGGGCTAGCGAATTTACTCCGAAAACCGACGAATTTCTTGCGAGGAGCGGAGCGACGTGTAAAAAGGGAGGGGAGTGAAACTGTAAACCACGCGAACCTTTTCAGCCAATCAAACAATCCAAAATGAAAATATTTTTCGCTCTATGTTGGTAGCAGTATCTATAGAAACGGATTACGTGACAAATTCAAAAAATTGACGTGTAACGTCAAACAGATGAAAACAAACAAAATGGCGTCCTTGAGCGAAGAGCAAAAGAAAGTTTTTAATATCGTAGAAAAAGGTTTTATTGTGTTTGTTAGTGGAATAGCTGGAAGCAGAAAATCATTTTTAATTAGATATATATAAAAGGAGTTGAGAAAGGGAGCAAGCGGTGTTTTTATCACCTCATCAACGGGCATTGCGGCTCAAAATATATGAGGATCGACAATGCATTCATCAGTTCGCCGGCGTGATAGGAAAAAATCGGCTTACGAACTGGTGAACAGAATCAAGAATAATCCTACTGCTGAAAAGTTTGCCTGATCACATGGCTTTAGCCCTTTTTCGTTACTCTCGGTCTTGTAAACTTAATATGCCTCCGTAGTTTTGATCGACTTCCCCATTAGATACGGAAAATAAACTAGTGATTATTCTGTAAAAAAATTCAAAATTCAAATTAACGATTTCAAAAACATTCAAACGAGTGACTCGACAGTTCATCTTGAACATAAACTCATACGCTCATGTTACGTAAATTCATAAATTCAGCTGACTTTTAGTTTCGAAAAAGTACTTACGTTCTAACTTGATCGTGTAATCCAGCCTTCAACGTGCATAGCAACCGCCTGTGTGCATAGCAATCTGCTACGAGCATAGGACGATAAAATTTCCACTGTTTCACTCCCTTCCTATTACACTCGTCATTCCCTTCCTTACACGATCGTAGGTCATTCGGATCGGCCGAAACCAAAACACTACGAGGAACGCCTGTCACATGATGGATTGCGCGCGCTAGATAGATCAACCAAGRACAATACCTTTCCTTACACAAAATTTTAATGGGCTCCCTTCTTTACACGCGCTTGGATCGGCCCGGATAGGCCCGGTGAGTGTGGCTTATGATACTTGTAAACAATCGACCGAAGTTTTGGCGCCTTTTGAATCACACGCGCGTGTAAATGGCTTCAACGTGTTTGATTGAAGGCAGTCTATTGCAAAGTGCACGTCGCGATTTTTGTCTAGGGTGGCCGCGTAGCAATGCAAACGCCGGTAAAAAACTTATTGGTTTTAAAGCAGAAATCATAAATTTAATTTTCGAGGGATTTCATATAAATTTATAGCGTTCTGCAGCAGAATTTTAGGAATTATTTGTTCAAATGAATAATGCTTTTTGTATATGATTCTGCAAGTCTAGTATGTTTTGTTTAGTAACCGAGACTGTTTTGACTTGGATATCTACTTCCAGGTGTTCTCGTCTCAAAGCGCGCAAAGGATTTTTTGTCAAATCGAACAGTTCCTAATACCCATTCTCCTATTTCATAATATCTCATGCTAATCAAAATGGCAGCTGGTGACTAATTAAGACAACACCAATTTTTCTTTCTTTTATTGCATTTATGCTTCGTTTTTATTAATTTTGATTGCTGATAGGGCACGAGGAAGCTTTTCTGGTACATGTAACAAATAATTTTTAATGTAAAGTCAGGACGTATTTAAAAAAAGTTAACTCGAATTACGACTCCATTTTGAAATTCATCATGGAGCTTTTGGCGATGCAACACAAATGCTTTTGATTGGTTAATAGTAACCGGAAGTGCGTGCGCGGCATCACTTGGTTGTAGTTTTCCGTTCCACAAACCTATTTCAATAAACCTAAACATTCAAAACCCCAAGGTTGAAGTTGTCTTGATTAGATTACCTGGTTATATAAAGACGAGCAATTTAACTATTTCTGCGCATTTAATCTTGTACTTAGTTGTGAACAAGACTAAAGTTGTAGTTCGGGTCGTACTGGGAGGTACAGACCTAAGTAAGACAGTGACCGAGTATAAAGGAATCCCGACTGACACCGACTAAGGAAAGTCCTTCTGGTCAACCTGACTCTGCTCTAGTTTGTGTCTGACACTCAACTTATATGAACTTCAACTTATATCAACGTCGAGGCTCAATAAAACGAGCGGCTCGACAGACCAGAGATCCTTCGCGTTTCAAAGTCCTACCATAGTTATATCTCATATAATTGATTAATTAGTTGAATTTGTTTAGGTAGTTATGTTTTCGAACATATTCCGAACAAAATTACTCGATTCTGATTGGACAAGAGGAGTACAAATAATTAGTGTAATTTGTACTCTGTAGAGTCCCAATTAAGTTGCTCATCAGTGATATTGAGTGTATTTTCAACCAAAAAAGTGGCACGATCTTCTTGTACACTGATTCGGAATTGATATAGATACTTGTGGTGTTTTGAAAGTTCTCAAATTGGACTCAACCATCTTTCAAAACATCGCCTGTACCTATCAGCGGGCCTTTTGGAATAGATTGACACGTGGTTGTTATTGGATGACTTCTTTTTTTAAAAGATCTTTTGCTGGATTAATAATATAGTATTAACCAAAACCTTTTCAAAAATAATTTTTTCCCCATATGATATACTTTCCCTTTCAAAATATAGCAGAACTTTCCCCAAGGGACCTTTGGCTGAATTGATTCGTTATGAAATTCATATATCAGCACATGACTGTTTGTTGCAAAAAGCCTATTCCGAATTGTACTCGAGATCGTGCGATTTCCAATCTTATACTAATCTTTATGCTTTTCAGGAGTCTTGAACTTCAAAAATGCTTTTGATCGTAATGGTGTCATCTTCACTTTGAGGGGGGGAAACAAGAGTTTCCGGCCTTTCGATGCGAAGCGTTCTTCAGATGGAGAGGGTGACGCGATGGATATTTTTAACACAGAAGGCACTCACAGTTGCACCGAAGACAAGGAGCATTCTTGGTGGCAAATAGACTTGGGAGAGAAGTTCCTAGTATTTCCCAATCATTATTCATTACGTCATGGCAATCAGAATGGGTTGGCAGCGATCATCAATTGGAAACTCGAGGGATCACGTGACGGAAACAACTGGCAAGTCTTAAAGGAACACAAGAATGAAAGAGGATGGTACAAGTCAAGAGTAGCCGGAAATCCATTCACTACAGGTTCCTGGCCAATTGAAGGGCCCATTCATGCAGTCCCTTATTTAAGAATCTATCAAACGGGCAAGAACTCAGTTTGTGATTATACATTGTATCTGTCTGGCATCGAGGTTCATGGCGTGTTACTCTACATGTAATTAAGATAACTGAAGTCCCACATGGTTTTCCGAATAAATCTTTTAATAGCTTGATTAGGCATGCTTACCAATTCAGGTCACGTCATTCCCTTAAGTATAGTCTAACGGATGTGCATGAGAAGACACATAAATATGGATAAACTTCTCGATAAACTTCTCGAACAAAAATCTTATATTATTCTCAGGAGAATGACACGTGGTCTGAAAGGGCAAAGTTATTACGCCCAAGCCAAAAAGTTGTCTTGCAGCATTGAACTAAAACTACAGATCCAACGAAAAGTGAGTGTATAACCTTAAAAAAATCGATTAAAATGAAAATTTACTTTAAGACGGCTGACTACTTTTCAACATTCGATTTGAGCCCACCATGTGCGGGCGCTCAAAAACCGCTGAATAATCTACACGATTTATTGAAGAACCATACACGTTTTGAACTTCAAGAGGGCAAAACCCTCAAGTTTTGCACGGGACTCTTTGTATTTTTTGTTATTTTCCCGTAATGAAAACCACTCATCAAAATTGCATCAATAAACAGCGGTTTAAATTGAAAATAACGCCCACTGTCGAGTCCTAGGCAGGGTAATAATTAGCTTATTTTACTTCTAGTATGAAGTACTTTCATTATGTAAAACACTAAAAAATCTGACGATAGGATTTTAATAGCCAGACCAGTGGCTAAGAAACTTGTGAAAAGCATTTTTCAGTATTCCCTTATGGGTAAAGAGAAACAATAATCGGATTAATGACGTATTGTGGGGCTATATCTTGTGTGTAAGAGGTCATTTAATTACCTCCCTGCAACGTCGGCAATAAGGCTATAGACCCCATGCATGCGACGTCAAAGCAGCTCAATTCGGAGAGGACAAACAAAATAATTTCAATCTCCTTAGAATTGGAAACCTATTGTTTTGCCCTCCAAATTGAGCTGCATTCCGACGTGCTGCAAGGGGTCTATATTGATGGTTTTCACGGCCGCCATGTTGGATGAATTAACAAAAGATTCGTCATTAGTCTCTTTTGTTATATCCTCCAACATGGCCGCCATGTCTTTTGTAATTACATTCTCTTGGGAATAATTGAAAACCAGCAATATCCATCGGGCTACTCTTACTGCACCACCGGCCCGTCCCTATAAAACTTCGAGTGTAATTACTAAATTGAAAACGTACAGTCAACTTTCTTTACAGCGGACACCTTCGGCACCGTCACTTGGTGTCCGTAATAGCGAGCGTCCGCAATAACGAGAATTAGTTACGGTCATTTCTTTGTCAATATTGTTGCCGGGGATTTTGCTCCTGTCCGTAATAGCGAGGTGTCCGTAATATCAGGGTGTCCGCAAGGTGAGAGGTGACTGTAGTTTATTATATAAAATTGTAAATAAACTGATAATGAAAAATTGTCATTTCCAGTCTCATGTATGGGCCTTATTTGCACACGGCGGCCATGTTTATTATCTTCAAAATTTATTCTTGAGTACTTCAATGTGAGGGTTCGCGTGGAAAAACCAATTGTTCCTGTGGCTGCCGGGTGAACATGGTTTCTTACATGCCCACGGAAATTGCACGTAAGGAACTTCAGCTAAATCATAGGTAGTGAGTAGACATCAGGGCATCAGTACAATATTATCGTATATAATCTATCTTTAATAGTCTGTTCATATGCATAAGACAAAAGCAGAAAACGCCTGCACATGTCCCATGCATGTATTCAAATTAAATTTTTCATTTCACAAACCATAGACAGCTTGTTATCATTCTTTTTCTTCATCCAAACTTGTTACATTTAGTCCTTCAAACACGATGTTTATTCCTGTGGCGAAAATTAACCATTGTATATATGAATAAATAAATCACAACAAGAGAAAATGAACTAAGATAAGGAATATCATGCCTGTAACCATCATAGGCGCCGTTTAATACTATTTTACCTCCTCCACCAATTGCTCTAGTGCCCTCTTTGGGACACTGGAATGGGGCCAGATTACGCCCCTGTCTTCTGAGGAACACCAACGGTAAGGGGCTGTCGTGTCCCAGTGCAATAACATCTCCATCGAACAACGGCTGCACCGTGACAAGCTGATCAAAAAAAAGGTGCAATGCAGATTTAACTGATACAGCAGCCATGGACCTTTTTACTGATACAGTAGCAATCTTAAATAAGCCTGAAGCGAGATGACGTCTTACCCCCGACTCTATACCATGATAGTTTTTTAAAATTCTTTTATATTAGCATTTTTGATTCCTTAGAGAATACAGGAACAATAGTCATAATTAAAGAACAAAAGCAACGTGAAAAGGATTATGGTCTAGACACGGGGGTAAAACGTCATCTCACTTCAGGCTTATTATTGGGATTCCCCCGGAGCAAACGTAGAAATAGATATATAGTATGGAGTGTCGAACGTTTTTCAACTGGTTTTACGCTTTGTTGTTTTACATATCGCTCCAACTACCAGCAATTTCGATAGGTTTTAAGATGTGTTTCGCATTGGATAACGTTTTTGAACAATAGAAATAAAGATGGCGGCGTATCAGTAACAAAATCAGTATATTTTGCAAAACGYACTAGATTTAGCTTCACCGTAAGATATAGATATAAAGAAACCAAACAAAAACACTACAATAGCTGCAAACAGCAGTAGCAACAAAAACAACAATAACAGCAACAGCAACCACAGCAACAACAGCAAAAGCAACAACAACAGCGATAACAAGAGCAACACCAGCAGCAATGATGATGATCAACAGCAACAGCAACAACAGCAGCAGCAACGACAGCTACAACAATAACAGCTACAATAACAGGAACAATAACAGCTACAATAACAGGAACAATAACAGCAACAATAACAGCTACAATAACAGGAACAATAACAGCTACAATAACAGGAACAATAACAGCTACAATAACAGGAACAATAACTGCAATAACAACATCAGCAACAAAACCGTAATAAACTTCGAAAACCCTGTAAGCTACGCTGAGGTACAGATCGTAAATTGAAGACATCACATATTCAACAAATAAAACAGCTTTGAACATCTTACTCCTATCACCTATCATTGATTTAAAAGATAGGTAAAGAATGGAAAATAAATAAATAACCTTGTCTGCTGTGAAACTCCCAACCTGTTTTCCTTCTAGAACATCCCATAATATGATAGTCTTGTCATCATGTGATATGGCGTACCTTCCTCCAGAGCTCAGCACATCTACTCGACTGCCATAATGCATGCGGCCGTGTAGCACGTAACGAGCAGTACCTAGAGAAAGAAAAACAAGCCTTCGATTTTGTTCAACCCTGAAATAGCCCCTGGGCTGATTTTAGGCAGAATATGGAATACTCATAGATTGAGTTGGAATCAGTTTAGCTTGTTAGGTTGTGTAGGCTGGAAAACCTGAGAACCTGCACGAGAAAACCCCTCAATTTAAGGGAAGACCCATTCTTCTCACATATAATGCGGAATCCAGGAATCAAACTCGAGAGGAGAGAATCGCGTGCATCATTATCGTTTGTTACTTTGATTCAAAAAAGTCCCGTTCCAGCGAAAGGCCAAGAAAAACAAAACCATAGGAAGTCTTATGACTTGATTTTATTTCTTATTTCGCCTAATAAGTACTAGTGTCGAGAGCATGGAGCATAGGAGTGACAATGTACCACTTCGACGATCATAACGGCGCGCGGTCATCTTATTGGCCAAAACAAAACAAAAATGACGGAAAATGTATAGTTTGTGTTTGTCTTTCTTTTATGGGTAAAGGTGATCAATGTGCTGTCTTAAATCATCTTTTGCTGTATTCTCTTGTGGAGCTGTTAATATTATTCGACGTCATTACCGGAACAAAGCTTTATTTACCCCTGGACGCCCCATTATGCCTTGCGATCCAATATGGCCGCCGTATTGTCGAAGTAGTCTATTTTAGCTCAACAATCCTATGCACCATTAAACCACCATACCTATACTTACCAGCAATAAGATCCCATACCACTATGTTATAATCTTCGTGTGACGTCATGGCACTCTTGTTATCAATGACCGCGAGGGACCTGGTATCGGTGTCCTCAGGATATCGTAAGTCGTGGATAACTCTCTCTAGATTCAAATACCCAAGATTCAACATTAACCAAAAAATATGAATTTTGTGAAAAGGTGACTTCTCTAAACAAGAAAAACAAAAAGGAAAACTTAGATCCTTTTTTTAAAAATTCGGACCATTGTCGAAACGGTGGCTACGGCCCTGAAAAGGTGTTCAGTTTCGACGAACACGTTCATTTGTTTTTTACTTGACGGAGCGTTAACGGTAAAAAAGAAAACGTTCTCAAAACAAATAAGACAAGAAATTTAATGGAATAACAGGAAAATAGAAGTGAACAGCACCATTAATTAGTAATCAAGCTTTCAGTGAAGCGAAAATATCCAGTGAAAAACTTGTAAAACTGCTGTAATTTGATGATAGCATTACTTACTGTTTTCGACGTCCCAGACCGACGGGTGTCGAATGTAATCGTCTTCGTTCGTTCGTCGAATGCTCAAAACAAAGTTTGTCCCGTCTGGTGTGAAAGCAGCAAGGGTCAACACGAATCTCGTATACCCAGTTCTATTTATAGAGAATAACTGTTCTCTTTCAATAACATCCCATATGAATATGACTTCCAAAGGTTCGTCATTGTGAGCCAGAACGGTACCTCCACTATTCACAATATATGCCTGGATCTTGAAATTCTGGCGCTGCCCTACTAGCCTGCCGGTCTCCTCTCCTGTTTCTATATTGTATATTCTAAGACTTTTCTGATCGAATGAATAGGTAAGAATCTCTGTAGCCTCGTTGACTAAGCACAGGTCTGGAGTGCCAGCGAAGATGAAGTCCGGTATCTTGCCCTTCAGAACGCATACTACCTTCCAGCTATTCATATTTACTATTACTGCACGGTTATCAACACGGAGAGCAGCTCGCCGGTCGTTTATCACCTTTAAATAACTGGACGAAATGTTACTCACTTTACAGACTGGAAGGAAAGTAGAGAGATCCCACGTGGTGATCACGTGAACATTTAAACCCAGTCTCCCCACTGTTATAACATGTCTTGGGTCGGTTGGGAGGGAGTAGATTTGAAGCACTGTTTCGGGTTTTTCTGTTTGATTATGGATATCTTCTCGATTCAGATCCCAAACACGAACCACGCTGTCCCCACCAGAAGTCACGATAATGCTACCAGCAGAGGCTAAGGTCCGGGATATGTAGTTTGAATGCTCGAGGACGTCTCTTCTCTCGTTGGAGCTAAGATCCAATATCGCAACTTTGTTCCTTTTTGGGAATACCATGACGTCACTGTCGGCAACAACAGACAGATGTTTGATCCAATCATCGATTTTACATCGAATGCTTCTTAGTTTTG